CTAATTTTTCCTTATTGTAGACATTAACGTTCAATTTTGATAATATATCAAAAATCAAAGGAAATCAATTCTTGAACAATTTTCTGGTCACGTGATATTCCGACCAATTATCCAATTAAAAATTAGGATAGCTGCGCGATGCAGTCGCGCTAAAACCAGGAACATATTAAGTATGACACTACAGATCGTTTTGAAAATTATCATATTTTTATTTTAATTATTGCGGTTGATGCTGAATTGAGGCCATAATAAAATAAGTATGATCATATAAAATTCTAGTTTGGTAATAATAATGAATTTTTTTATTAATTCATTTTAAGAAAGTCTAAAATTATACGGATGAACTCTCATTCAGAAGGGTATTTTTTCTCATGATCATTATTTACACACAGTCGTATGCAGTACGCATCATAATAATGTAATGGCATAGTTATGTAAAAGTATTATCATAATTAGGGTAGCTGCACAACGTGTGATGCAGAGCAGGATTAGCACGATCACGCGCGTTAAGTTCAAAATGTATGTTAATATTTGTCAATAATTTGTTAAATTTACTAGAACTTTTTATTTGTAACACATTTTAAAAAGACACTGGCTCATTTAACGCAAATAAAAATAAATTAATTAAAGGCTGACCATTAGTTTGAGTGCTTCAATTATAACTTGCTTTATTTATTCTTGCTCAATTAGGTGAATATAAACACTAAGAAAACAGTTCATTCTCTATTAATCACAGTTTCGATATCAAAATATGTTACAGATTTCTAGAAGATCGTAGTAACTACTATTATAAATTTTGAATGATCTAAAATGACGTAATGCGCAGGTAACCAAAGTAATGACTATTATAAATTTTGAATGATCTAAAATGACGTAATGCGCAGGTAACCAATTAAAATATTTAAACGGACGAACTATAAATTTAGATAGAAATTTTATAATCAATAACGTCATGTTTGCATCATATTGCATAATCGACTTATGACGTTCAGTATATGTAAATATGTCGACTCCTTCCAAAAATGAATAAATGAAAACTATTACTTCTACTATAAAAGGATTCTGCAAAAATCAGCATAGGCCACGCCCAAAAAATGATCCCTCACACATTTTATGTGATCGTACTGGTATATTGTAATTGTGAATAAATGAAAATCATTATTCCAACCCAAAAGGATTTTTCAAAAATCAACGTAGTGCATCAAAAAAGTTGAACGGAACTATCTCTTTCATATTTCATGTGATTGTACTGGTATTATGAATCATTTTTTAATAAAAGAACAGGGTGAAACCTGAGTTGCGAAATAGTGAAGTTCGCATTGTAGTTAGAGTGAAAAGCAGATTTCATCCTCACATGATGATCATAGCAGGTTTCCAACTCAGGTTTCACCATGTCGTTTAATAAAAGTTGCTAAAATTTAAACCCGATTTTACTTTAAATGGCAAACCATTGATCGTAATTATGAAGTATTACAAATGACATCAGATTATCACTTCATCAAAGTAAATGATTGGCTTACATGTGCCGCTGTGCAGCACATGTAAGCCAATTATTTACTAAGGAAGAACGAATTTTATGACCAATTTATTATAAGTTAATATATGATTTACATGCTGCATTCTAGATATAAATATATAAACCTCCTAACTAAATTTCACCTCACTTTAACCTCTCTCTAAAATTAGAAATTTATGTTACATAAAACAGTGAGAAAAAATGTATACCAATCAGCTTTAAGACTTTGCTGCCATTTCAGATGCCAGTAAAACCATACACTTATGTTCCTGGTATTAGGATCAGGTGTAATGTAAAGAAATTCAAAACAAACGAAAATAGTATTTATCTAGCATAGTGCTGTACCCGGATAACTTTTTATCCAATGGTTGTAGCCTTTAACAAAATTTAATAACCGGTTTTATATCCTATTCAAATGAAAGGATTGGCTAATAAAATACAGAATGGGATAGATTAATACCTTCTGTCCTATTCTCTATATAAGCTCTAAACATACTACTACCAAGTTTACGCCCTTCTTGCTGCCCTATAGCAGAGAGCTGAAAGTGCCTATATTTGAGCAACAAGAAGTCCTAAAGAAAATCTTTTAACAAGATTGTATATACTTATAGAAAATTTACCTGCCAAGAAGAAACAAGCCAAGAAAAATGTTAGAAAAGCCCAACAACGTCAAAAGTTCTACTGGGATTAAAAGTAAAAAAAGTTCGACAGTTATTTGAAAAGGAAGAACAAGTATTGTGCTATGATGCTGCAAGGGATAAACATTTCACAGAAAAATTATTACTGAAATGGAAAGGACCCTATTTTATCTATAGTAAAGTAGCACCAAATGTTTACAAACTTTGTAGTATAGATAGACAAATTTTGGAAACACCAATCAACGCCTATTTACTAAAAAAAACACTATACCCGTCAAACATGGGACCCTATAATCATTATATAAAACATTTTTTTTTTGTTTATTTTTATTTTTATTTTATTTTTTTTATTAGCTTTAAAAATGACAACTTAAGTAGAATTAGTTTTGCAAGAATTAGAAGAGACAGAGCTAGCCAATATTAATTAATATCGAACCTCCTCCTTATAATCGAAAGGATAAAACTAAAATTAAAGTTCGAAAAACCTATCAAGTACTAATAAATATAGCCAGACTTAGAAACAATAAGGTTAATCGAATCAGAACTCTGGTTTATGCCTATATTTAGAAGAATTACTAGAAACCAAGCCAAAGACTCCAGCTCAACGACAGTTTTGGTTAATCTCCTAAGAGGGCATCCATAAATAACATTATGTACCCCCTCATAGTAGCACTTGACCCCCCCTACTAGATAAAAAAATTTTTCAAAATCTGTATGTTTATATATAAAATTTTGAAAATCTTGGATATATTGTGATACAGTAATCTGATTTGGATGATTTAGGTACCATTCGATTCGTCTCAGTGAGACGAATCCAATTATACCAAAATCATTTTATTTGGATCACTAGATCAATAGTTATTCACAAAAAACTATTGATTTTATTGTCATTTTATAAGAAAACATAATAACTAATAGTATTTGGCCAATAACTATTGATCCAGTAATCCAATGAAATGAAATTGGTACCATTCGACTTCTCTTACCGAGACAAATCAAATAATACCAAAATCATTAAATGGACTACTGGATCAGTTTTTAGACAATTTTTTCTAAAAAAATTGCGTTATATTTTTTTGACCCTCTACGTAAGAGGAAAATTATTATATTTTGTCAGACCCTCTCCACCCCTCTTGTATAATGTTATTTCTAGATGCCCCTAACTAAACATTATAAAAAAGTGGCTACTCGCATTTATAAAATATTTTCACCATATGGTATAGAGTCTGTTTATAGAACTAAGCTTCTAGTTCTATCCAATATTCCAAGATTACAAACCTTAGGTCTTATCTTTTTTTGTTGAGTTGTCATAGAATTTGAAAATAAGTCTGGAAAAATGTTAACCTATAAAGCATCACAAAAATGGGCATAACTTTTGAACCAGTAATTCAAATTCAATGAAACCAACACCATTCCACTTAGCTCATCGAGATAGTTCGAATAAGCTATAATATGTCTCTGTATGATCTCTGGTTGCCAGGTTAGAAGTCACAAATATTTATTATTATGTTTATCCTTAGATTAGCAATCTGATTGGCTAGGTAATTGTTGCAGGCAAAAACGTTAGATCTGACAATCTGAAAGATGTAGTTTTTATAGCTTATATTCTAAATATTTCATATATCATATTTATATTATTTATCATATATATTACATTAATTATATTTATACTATATATTTTATTAATAGTAGTTATAGTATATATTGTACATATAAAAGATATTGACTGTTACATTTGTAAAAATTCAAAAAGTATAAAAGCGGCAGATATGAACTCCAAGTTCAACATTGAGTCTTCATACCCTTTCAATGAATAAATACAACTATTTACAACACAAATTAAACAATTACTAGTATCCTCATATACTTTTAATTGTAGCCTCTTTTGTAATTACAAATTGCCTTAAAGCTTTTTTGTTAAGTTTTCTTAAAAATGCCAAATTGATTTAGATATATCACAGTAACAGAAAGTAAAGTTACACAAAGTGTTCACTGTCTAAAATCGCTTTAGTTACCTACTATCTTTGAAGAAGTAGATATAAGGATAACAATATAAAACTTTTTTTTGTAATACAAAACATAACAACCAACTTGAGTCATTGGTAGTTTACCTTTAAACTTATTGTTTTTTAATCTGAGATGCAATAAGATATAGTAGTTTCAAAAACTAGAAAAGATGTGAATATTTTGAAAGATCAGAAGATAGTTTGGTGGTCTAAACAATTGGTGATTTAAAATTAAAAGATTCTGCTTTAACTAGTTTGTTTGTATTTAAAGTATTATTTTGTACTATTATTCTAAACTATATTTTAATATTTTTAATTATAATTTATTTAGATATAAATATAGTTTGTGAATATAATGTTTATAATACAATAAGTGATAGTAATGATAGTGTTAGAAATAGTCGTGTATGCGATATTTATATGTATTATTGTGAAAAAAAATAACAAACCCTTGTAAAATCTAAATTAAAGTTGTTAATATAAAACTGAATTAGTATATTGTAAATTTATAATATGTCTTAGAGTGTATTGACTAATTTTTTAAAAGTTTGTGAGTTATAAAATTTTTATTTGGAATTAGCCAGTACTTTATCTGAAGTATGATTGACATTTTTTCTGGAATATCTTAACAACCAATTAAAATAAACTTCTGCTATGCTAAGAAAATCAGAGACCTCCTTCTTTCTCAGGATATTATGTAATATCTGTTATTATCCTAACTATAAACTTGGTTATTTTTTCATTTATAAAAGTTATTTGATGGCATATTACAAAAAATTTTAAACAAAAATTAATACTATATATAAACACTAGTGTAAATTTATAAATTTTAGACCCTGGGTCAGATAGCACAGTGGTTAGCGCTCCGGAGTCTTATTCGCAAAATCACTGGTTCAAGTCTAGTAGATGACAAAAACTGTGTTGGAAATACGAATAGAAAGGATCTATGATAAGGCGTCAAACATCTTTCTCATTTCTGGACTTGGTACTACAGCTATAATGAGTTGTGTGACATAGCCACAGAGGACATGCAATATCCAGAAAAAGAAATAATCTGACAAGAAATGTCATATACATAAGGACCATTCACTATAAAAAGGAACATTACGAACGGGAAATAAAAACAAGGATATCGACCGAATTAGGAAGCTGGGCACCTAATTACGCTACACCAACCAAAAATGGGAAGTGGCTCCCAGGGTAGATGAAAAAGGGCCAACCTATATAGCAGGCCAGCGGAGTATGTAGTTCCTTAAAGCTGCCTATTATCCAAGAGGTACGGGGCACCAGAGTGTGGTTGGCCAGCTAGATTCAGCTGAGAAAAACAGATGATTGGAGGGAGGTATAGAGTAGTTAGGAAACCCTACTGTATATGTAAAAGACCTTTGAATAATGAGTTAATAAAAGAGCGCCAACAGCGCTCTTGGGTATACTACCAAGGAAATTTAAAAAAAATAAAAATTTATAAATTTTAAATATCTATTATAATATTTTTAATAAAAAAATATTAGTATAATATTTATATGCTTGAACCAGTATTGTATATAAAACAATTTTATATATTTTTTAAATTAAAATTACTTAAAATTTTATTAGAATATTCTATTTTATCATATATTTCCAAAAATAAGCTACTCCAAAAATTTATTTGCAGTTGCTATATATAAAAGTCTAAATTTACTAAGCAAGCCTCAAAATGCTATTAATCAAAGTTATTCAGATATTAAAAATATTTACAATAAAGATTTGGTATTATTTGGACAACTTTTTTTGTAAAATTTTTGATATTTCAAAATTTAACAATTGAAAATAAGCTATTCTCTATTTTTTGTGTAATTTTTGCCCAAAAAAGGTTGCTTATTTTTGGAAATATTTGGTAATTTTTTTCAAAAAATGATTTAGCATCTATAAAAATATATAGTTATATAATTTTTTAATTATTTAAACTTGGTATATCACTGGTCAAAATTAAAACATTTAGTAATAAAATAGCAATAATTTAGTAACAATTTAGTAAACATTCAACAACTATTCAGGTATGATTCCTGCTACTTAGCTGCCACTCAGTTACCATTTAGTAAAAATTTAGTAATATATTACTAAATTTTTACTGAGTAGGAGCTGAGTGGCAGCTGAGTGGCAGGAATTAGTGCCTAAATGATTGTTGAAAATTTACTGAATTGTTACTAAATTATTGCTGATTTATTATTGAATATTTTAATTTCAACCAGTATATAGGCTTGAATAATTTTGGACAATTTAATATTTGTACAATATACAATAATGCTAGGTAATAGAAACACCAAAAATAAAAAAGTATTAGCAATAGTTTTTTAATACAGAACAAAATAGTAAAAAAAATATACTTTTCAAAATTGCTAAAATAATCCAAAAATACTTTTTGCAAAACTTAAAAAATAGTATTAGCAAGTTTTATAAAACAGAACAGTACAACAAAAAGAAAAACCAATACTTTTAATGGTTCTGAGAAAGTACAAAACCAACTTTTAAGAATAATAACCAACTATTATTCTAAATACCAATTTCAAAATAAAAAGACCTATATACTACTTAGTAAATATATTGTAACTATAATAGCAATATGTGCTCTGTGGGTTTATTTATAAGTCATATTGCAAAGTAATTATCTCAATTATTTTATAAATTTATAATCTTATAAATTATATCTATAAATACAGTATAATATAATAATTATAATCTATTTATAAAAAAAAAATTGAACTAATTTTAATTAAATAGTTTTTAAAAAATTTAAAAAATTAAATTTTTAAAATTGCTTTTAAAATAACTAAAAAATTTATATATATAAAAATCACTAAATGTATATATTTAAAAGGTTTTAAAAAGGGTGTGGTGATTTAGAGAAGTTGCCAGGTTGTCACCCCCAGTGTTGGAAATCTTATGTTCTCATGTTCTCATAAGAACATCACTTTCAATCTGAGAACATTTACAAAATTTAAGATGTTCTCTATTAAATTTTTTTTGAAAACATTAAGTTTGAAAAATATGTTCTCTATGTAAATATATAAAATAAATAAAAAAACATTTTTATTAATATAGCAGTTTAAAATATTTAAGCTCATAAATATTTAATTGTTAGTTAGTTGAAATAGAGAACAGTTTATTGTTTTTGAATTATAAAAAATTTTAGATAATAAAGTTTATTGGTTTATCTATTTCTAGTTTGGTGCAATATAGCCCTTATTATGTATACATATAATATTATAAATTTTAGAGATGATATTTTATAAGAAAATTACTTAAACAAATTTTTAGTTATTAGGATTTTAAACTTTAGTGTTATATCTTAAAATTTTATAGTGAGAAAGTTTTGAATCTATAAATTCACTACAGTAAAAAAAAATAGTATATTATATTATTTATTTATTTAAACATTTGAGAGATGTTAATAGCTTATTTAAAAATTTAATATATAAGCTGAGCCAAACCAATAACATACTCAACTATATATAAAAAACCTCAAATACTAATTTTTTTAAAAAATATACAAATAAAGTTATAATCTTATTATTATGAATAACTACACTTTGTTTATATAGTTTGTTAAATCAATTATATTTTTTATTAATATATTAATTAAAAATAAAAATTAAAAATAACTAAAAGTATAAAAGTGTAAGTGTAAGAAAGAGAATGAGAGAAAGAAAATAAAAATAAGAAAGAGTGAGAAAGAATGAGAAAGAGTAAGGGAGAGAAAAAGAGAGAGGGAGAGAGAAAAAAAGAAAGAAGAGCAAAAAGAAAGAAAGAGAAAAAGAGAAAGAGAAAGAGAGAGTAAAAAAAAATTTTTTTTATAATTGAGAACTTAAAAAAATTTTTGAGAACATTAAATTCAAAAAACATGTTCTCATGAGAACATAAATTTCAAAACAGATTTTCAACACTGGTCACCCCCAAGCGGCAGGTCAAAAGTTCGAATCCCACTGGTGACATTTTGAAAAAATAGCCCTATATTATGGTAACTGTAGCTCAGATTAGTTGGGTAGAAATACCTGTAATCTTGGTTATACTATCTTGAATGGAGCTTCTGGGCGAATTGGTGTATTGTTATACTAACAAATCCAGGAAACCAGAAAAACAAAAACCCTTTGGCAAGACCCGAGTAAGAAGGTAGATGGATGGTTACGATGGTACTACCAGATAAGGTGTGTGCTGGGCCAGAAAACAAACCTTGTGAGGGCTATAGTTGGTGACATTAGCGGTTCACAGAAATTCAGACTGCAAGTATATGGGTAAAGCCATAGTGTCGGTCACTGAAAGAAACTGTGCGATTAATTGGGTGGGACATGTATCATACTGGTATAATCCTATGTCAATCAGGTTTGATTGCATAGTGCGGCAGGTCATTACTGAGAATTTATTGAAATAAGTGGCATGCAAGGTAATGTTGGAGGTTAAGTATTAGAGGGTAATGGGCATTGCAGATAGTAACCAGAAGATTTAAATAGGCAATTCCCCTAGTTGGGTTGCAGGTATGGCAACTAGTATGGAACCTTAGTGCAGACCACTTAAATTAGACATCCAAAAAGTGTATGTGTAGCTAGTTTTATTCTCATTACTAACTGCAAGTCTGTATATATATCCTTGAAAATCTAATAAAATCTTGTCTGCAAGACTGCCAAAGTTGAAAAAAAAGGTTTTAAAAAATTAAAATCTTAATAAATTTTTTAAAAAATTTAAGAATTAAGTTATATGCGATGCATGTGATAATGTCACCTGTAGATCACCTCTGTATCAATAAAGTTTAGTTTTTGTTAGTTTAGGGTTAGGGTGAGCACCTAGGTTTAGTGTTAGGGTTTGGTATCGCTTAAGGAAAACTTTTTGTTAGAGCACAGAAAGTGGTTTTCTATGCAAATTTTGAGTAATAAGCGATTTTTGTTGTTTTTTTTGATAAAACAAACGTTTGTTTTGAATTTTCTGATCGTGTTATGTTACACAAGATCCTAAAATCTGATTGGTTCAGTGATGCATAAGCCGCTGTCACTTATATGACAAATAACTTTACTCAAATTTAAAATTAAAAATTAATTGTAATATAAAATTTAGTTTTAATTAAAAATAAATTTTTGAAAAAAATTTTTTAAAATTTTTTATTTTTGTCTATTTTCAAAACCAACCCTTTTTAGCTATATAAGGTGATTATACCTAACTTTGTATTTTTTTTGTCACATATAAAAGTTTTTCAAAAGATTGTATTTATTTATAAAATTTAATATATAAAATATATAAACAATTTATTATTTAACAATAAAATTTTTTTATACTTTAAATACTAAAATTTTTTTTAATAATAAAAGTTACAACCTTTATAATTTATAATAATTTAAAAGCTATGGTCCTAATTTCATGGATACATAATGAACTTATTTTTTTGTTAAGTAAATTAAACAAACTTTGCTAAGTAATATGTTCATTACACTAAATTATATTTAATATAAAATTTTTTACAGAATTTGGACAAGATTTTTTAATAGACTTGGCTACTTAAATGTAAAGTATGTACAAAAAATCAATTTTATTTCTATGGACATGTATCTTGGGACTCTGTGATTCAATTTAGACAATTTTGGTACTATTTAAATCATCTCACTAAGACGATTGAATAATACCTAAATTATCCAAATTGGGTTGCAGAGTTATGAGATATAGATTTGATCACAGAAAACACCTTATATCTCTGTATCCTGTAAACCAATTTGGATAATTTTAGCACTATTAGATTCATCTCAGTGAGACAATTCGAATAATACCAAATTCATCCAAATTGGATTACAGGATTATAAGATACACAATCCTACAAAAATATATTTAATTTCAAAAAATAATAAATATATCTTTTATCTCAGAATATTGAGATCTAATTTGGCTAATTT